TAACCTGGCCGAGAACCCTAATTACCCCCCAAAGACCCAGGGCAGTACCCCTAACCTGGCCGAGAACACTAATTACCCCCCAGAGAGGCGGGGCAGTGCCCCCAGCCCAACTGGGAACCCCAGTTACCCCCCAGAGACTCGGGGTGCACTGGTCAACACCCCCAGCCCCACCAGGACCTACCGCCGCCGCCCGGAGACGAGGGGGGCACAGGTCGATACTGCCCACCCAGCTGGGACCCACAATTACCCTCCGGAGACACGAGGGCCATTGCCGAACACCCCCATCCGGTCCAGGCCTGCCCCCGCAGCGGGTGGGGGGGCAGAGGTCAATGGCTCGGGGGGTGCGGGCGCCCACCGTGAGCTCAGGGGGCACAGGGATGACTGTTGGCTCCTGGTGGCTCTCCTGGTGCCCACCTGCGTCTTCCTTGTGGTGATGCTGGCTCTAGGGATCGTCTACTGCACTCGCTGTGCCTGTGGGAAGAGGCAGAACGTGACCGACTGCTATCGCTGGGCCAACCAGACCAATGCCAAGGTGCCGCGTCATGACTCCAGTGCCCACGCCACCGTGTAAGTGATGGTCCAGGCGCTGTGAGACAGTGTGGGGTGGTGGAGGGGGTTAATGACGAACGGGCAGGGAGCTAACTGGGACAGGGGTGTGCCCAACGCTGACCAAGAGATGGGCAGTGATCAGGGGGAGACAGATAAATCTCAGGGACTGACCCTGACAGGGAGCAGTGGGGGGGTGGTGGTGGGGGCGTGGGGTTGGGGGGGAGCGGGGGGGGGGGGGGGAACGAGGACAACTCTGTCCTCCCAGGCTTTCAACATTGGCTGGTGGGCTGTCTCGATACGGCAAAGAGAGGGTTAACCTGGAGAGAGACGGAGAGAGACAGAGAGAGAGAGAGAGAAAGAGATAGAGACAGAGAGAGAGAGAGATAGAGATAGAGAGAGAGAGACAGAGAGAGAGAGAGAGACTGTCTCGATGCGGCAGAGACGGTTAACCTGGAGAGAGACAGAGAGAGATAGAGAGAGAGAAACAGAGACAGAGAGAGAGAGAGTGAGACACAGAGACAGAGAGAGGTAGAGATAGCGAGAGAGAGAGAGA